AAAGCTCAATGAATTTCTATGTCAAAAATTTTCGCATCAATTTTCCACCATTGACCATCGAAATTGGAAAGCTTATTCTGATACAAATTTGAACGCCCGTTAATTGCGTGATCAATCTAACTTAACTTTGCATCAAACATCCGTCCATTCTCATTACCGCTTCGAAAAACCACACGCGGTCCGTCATCAATCCAAAAGCAATCAAATCGGGCCTTCCAACTGCGAGCACAACTCCTCGCCAAACTAAAAAGGGTCGCGCTGCATTTCATTGTGAAATGCATTGATAAGCGGTGAGCTCGGCTTTTTCCACTCGTGAATGAGAACACGAATGAATAATGAAGAAGGGCTTCAAAGACGCGGGGTTTAATCCCAGCTGCCGTCCCATTGATTGAGTGACAGACCCAGCAGAGCGCAGAGCCTCGCGTCGAGAAGAATATTTTCTCACACAGCAGCCGTCGCTTCTCATTTCGTCCGTCCGCCGCATGCTCTTGCAGTACGTGCAATAAAATTAAATAATTTCGTTTTATGGAGCCGTAAAATATTTCGCAGTCGTAAAAGCACGTACTACAGTGTGTGTGTGTGTGCATGGCAGAGAGCGCCGCGCACGCCGACGACTCATATTCGCGCCCCTGCGCTCGCCTTTTACGAGTTGGAAATATAATACAAAATATAACACGCGGCGGATCCCTGAGAGCGTCCTAAGCAAATTATCGACCCGCCAGAGACACAAAGTTTACTTTTTACAATAACTTGCTCAGAAAATAAGACCATTAATGTGTTAAATTTTAACACGAGAAATGAATTAACCGCGCAAATAGCAAAACAAGCAATACATTTTTAAAAGACCAAATATGTTTTGGTCTTGTCCGCTGCCTTCTGCCTCCACAATAAAAAATTCATGGTTTTAGTTGGTAAAAAATAAAATTTATTAGGTTGGAATTATGACCAACTTTGCCCTATACACAAATTATACAATAATTCAAATTTGTATCAAATTTTTTACAATAAATGTCAAATTTTTATTAGTTTTTCTTGGCAGTTGCGGCTCTTTTGTGGAATTTTTAATTTAACTTTTATCATTCGTCTAGAAATTTTGCTTCAATAAATAAAATTTTGGTGCTCTCAAATAATTCTGAAGCCTTTATTTTTGTATAAAGCAAGCCTGTGGCTATTTATTCATTTATTCCAATTTATTAACAACTTTTATATAAATATAGAGTAATCGTTCTTTTATACAATATGAAATCTATAGAATGTTGAATTATTCCATAATCTAAAAATTTATTTTACAAAAATAAATTGTATACTTCAAAAGCATTCCCTGCGCTGAGGCGAACAGATCGGAAATCGAAACGGGCCAAGAAGGAAGTCTTCTCCGGTTTTTGTTGGCGCGGCCAAATTGGGCAACGCCAGCCGGCCAATAACAATAAAAGTAAAACAATTTTTGAAACAGCCGAGCGTCCACCAGAGATTTAACACAATAAAACGGCGTGGCGCGTTATTTCCAATCCCGCGAGCGCCAACTTTTTTCCTCTCGCTCCGTCTCTCCAGTTTCTTTATCTCTTTCCCATGCAATAAAAGTATCAACGGCGGCACGTAATAATAATAATGGAGCTGAATGGAGAGGAATTACTAAAATTGTTATTGATGCAGAAGAGGAAGCGACGCATTATTGCTGCTGCCGGGGATTCGCCGCTGCCGGCGCAGGGGCTGCGTCCGCACGCAAAGAACAAATGCAGCAAATATAATTTAAATACCCACGGCTTCGTCCAGCAACACGCACCTCTCGAAGCCAAATACGTGCCCTCTCTCATTTCAATACTTAATTCCGTTTGTTAGGCGAATCGATTGAGACCCATCAAAACAACATTCCTGAGACTTTTGTTTAAAAGACTTTTCACAAATATTTCTTCAAAGCAAGCCATTTTTTCAATTTCTAATTAAAGAGAATTCAGCGTGTTCCAGGACTTATTGTAAAAAGTTTGGATAAAATTTCCCATTTTTTTTATCTGAAAATGGTTGTAGATGTGGTTTAAAGTTTAAATATGGCTATTGACTCACAATCAGATTCAGAAAATATGTATCTTCTAGAGATAAACATAATTATGTACAGAATAATCTTTGTATTAATAAGACACTAAAATACGGTTCACAAAATATTACTTTTGCACGCAATAGAACATTTTGCCAATAAGGAGTCATTACTGTCAATATTATGCATATCGCAGGAATATTTCTTTCAGAATTAATTATTTTTATTATTTAAAGATATAATGAAATATTTGCAATAATTAAATTAATTGATAATAAAAGGCCAACCATTTTAAATATTTTAATCTCCTGAGGTTTTAACTGTAAAGCGAATTATTTTTAAAATTCACACTACAGAGTTGAGTGATAGTTTTTTTTCTGGAAAATTAAAAATTAAATTAAATTTTTATCAAAATTTCATTGAAAAATCTCAAATTATGCAAATTATCATATAATAATTTGTTATGAAATTGCACTCTATTAACATAAAATTTGCAGGTTTTTTTAAAATCCGTTTTGTATTTCTTGGTTTGTCACCAAAATTAAAGAATTTCTTCAAGCAGATGAAAATTGAATGTATTTTTCCTTCATATGCCAAAATCATATATAAAGAGATGAAAATTTGCTTCTCATGCAGCGTCACAAACTCGCCATAAAAACTTGGATGTTCTCCGTGCCGGGAAATAAAATATAGTTTAATATCGGCCGAAATGTGTTACATTGCATTGCACGGGTGCAGCCTCCTTTCTTTCCCATTCCCATGCGCGCATATAAAAGAAGAAAAGCACGCAAACAACGTATAAAGTATACAATAAAAAATTAATTCTCTGCTGCACACGCGAAACTGAGCCGAGCTTGTCACCTGGCGCTGCTTTTTTGCCCGCGCGACACCTGCACTCCTTTTTTCCGCAGACAAAAAAAAAATAATGGAAAAATGTTTAACAATCGCGCTCGTTTTGGTGAATGAACAAAAAAAAATTGTTGCCAATCCGAAAGAGGGGCGCGCGGAACGAAACAAATTGCTCAGAGGAAATTTACAGAGACGCATAATTGAAAAGGGTGAGTGGCCCATTTGGACGGTCGGAGAGAGCAAGCAAGGGTCTCTGCCCTGCCGGGGCTTCAAAAACACACTTAATAATAATTGTGCCAAATTGGAAAAGTTTGTATGGCTTGGTGGCGGCGGCGGTGGCGCAATTGAAGGAAAAATTACAATTCACTCTCAGCGGTTCCGCGCGAATGGGCCTTTTGTGGCCCGAGAGCACACTCGAGACTCGGTCTCGTGAAATTTTGTGGCTGCAGCGCCATGAATTTCAGATTTATATTATATTCGAGAGAGCAATAATGTTCGCGCCGAATTTGAATGCTCTTCTGTCCGTTAGACTGCTATGCGCTTTCAGCCGAAAAACTCTTTTAAAAAGTGAAAACTTTATACAACAGTGAGAGCTTTGCTGTCGTGGGAAAGACGAACTCGCCTTTCTCGGAACACTTTTTTCCTTGAACTTTTTAAATTTGCAGTCGGAGAACATAGAAGAGGAAGAAATTTTCAAAGATTTTCACACGTTGTGCTGTATAATAAAGTCTTCTTTGACATTGCAGAAGAAAAGAAAAGGTATAAATCACAAAGTGAAGAATTATTCAAGATTCGAGAATTATATTGATTTTGTTAAACATTAAAACAACTTTGTCATCCATAGTTTATTTATATTCAATTTAATTTTCTCTAAATTCAGTTTGCTATTAACACATTTTGATAACACATTTTTTCTTAGCCGTACCAATAATTTGAATGTTTTCTGAGCAGACAGGCAAAAATGAATTTCTAAAAAGCAGAGCCTACAAATTGAACTTAAAATTCGTTAGATTTTTTTTTCATAATTTTCAAAATTGACTGTGCGAATAACCAATTTTCCCACATCTTCCTGTGCTGCTCTCTCTGAAATTGGCTCGAGCATCCCTTTCTCTCGTCAGCGGAGGTGCGATTATTGAAGAGAGAGAACAATATCGATTGGGGAGGAAATTGGCAGTGCCTCCCGCTGCCTGCCCCCATTGACGGAATGCCAAGGAGCACAATAAAGGCGACTTACTTAGCATGCCTCGCTCGCCGTACCTAAAGTGCGTTTTCGCCGCAAAGACCTTTCGGCCCCAGCGAGCTGCTTTTATTGCCCCCTGTGCCGATGTGAGGACGCGAAATATCCGCTCAATCGAATTACTTTCGGGGATAATTCTAGGCAGTGAGAAAAGAGCAGCTGCGCTTACCACTTGATTGCTCTTTGGCGGATATTCGCGTCACCAGGGAAATGTGACTTAAAATCTACGTAAATCACTAGCTTTTGAAATTTTATCCGCGCTTGTTAGTTGCGTTTAAAGAAAAAAACCGTGTTTAAAAAAAAAACATTATTTGTGATGAAAAAAAAACTCATAAATTGATTTTAATTATTTCAATTGTTGGTAAGAGCTTATTGATAAAAAATGGTTGTGACCCAAAAAAATTTATGCTTTCAACAGGAAAAAATATAAAATTTTTGGCACTTTCTTATTGGATTAATATTTTGGAACTTATTAACTGCATGCGGGGTGAGGGCATTCTGATTATTATGATCAATAGAAAACTGGATCTGATTACTCCGTTCTGTTAATTTGTTGCATGTATAATTAAGGTACGCATGAAGTACACAAAAATTTTCAAGTACAAATGTGAAAATAAATTAAATGAACTCATTTAACAAATCAACTTTGTTGCTTTAATAATTTAATTTATTTTGGAAACACAAGTTTCTGCATTTTGGACTACCTTAATTTTCTCTTTCCTCGTTGCATCGCACGTGCAGTTTGGCGCCACATCAAATCTGCACTTTCGAACGCATGCGGGCCGAAGCAAGAGCGCCCCTCCCCTTTTGCCTTTCGCAACTCAAGAAGTCGCAACTCACGTGACCAAGTGCAAAGTGCACCATCACAAAATCACAACAAAAAAGCTCGGCTGCCATTTTCTAATTTGAGGGCACAATTATTAGCAGTTATTTAAGGCGGAAATTTTTAATGCTAAATTAAGGAGCCTGACACTTATTGTCCTACGTCCTTGAATCCACCTGCGAACCTGAATCGTCTATTCTCGGCCAGTCAAACTCACCACAATGTCGTAGGAATATTCATAGGGTGCGTCCAGGAAAGATTTGAGGGTAAATGTTAAAAATTTTTCTTGAAAACATGCCATTCCAATTTTCAAGTATGTTGTTGGGGTGGTCAAGAGGCCTCGCTCACCAAATTTTCAAGTCAAAATAAGGGGTGCTTTTCCGGGAAATCAGATTTATCCAAAAACAAAAAATATGGAATATCTTTGCTCCTATTGAGAAATTATTAATGATCTTTTCACTTCCAGACGTAACTTTTTACGCCCGACAACTTTTCTGTTGACAACTTTTGCGTAGGTCAAAGGTCAAGGTCACTAAATTGCAAATTTCACTTTCTGACGCAATTTTCGCTAAGAAGCACCCCTCAGAAATTTTTTGCAGTATAGGAAAAAATGTAGCCCCAAGTGTGTAGAACAACATCCTTGATTTCCAGAATGGCATTATTTTTAGTTTTTTAATTAATTTTAAATGAATATTAAAAAACAGTGAAAAATCGCTTTTCCGCAATAGAAAGTAATTTTCAAACAGCGATAACTCATTTTCTGTTAGAGATACGCAAAAATGTTATAGAACAAAAAGGATTTGTTTTGACTTTTTGCATCCAGCCATGTATAGTTTATACAGGTCAGGTCACTTGGGGTCATTGACCTCGGTGACCTGTGACCTCTAAAAATAATTTGTGGGAAATGAGCTTATTAAAACCATTCCATAAAATAGTTCTTCTTAACTATGTGCCAAATATTCAGTAAACTGCTCTTTAAGGTCACAGGTCACTGAGGTCAATGACCCCAAGTGATCTGACCTGTATAAACTATACATGGCTGGATGCAAAAAGTCAAAACAAATCCTTTTTGTTCTATAACATTTTTGCGTATCTCTAACAGAAAATGAGTTATCGCTGTTTGAAAATTACTTTCTATTGCGGAAAAGCGATTTTTCACTGTTTTTTAATATTCATTTAAAATTAATTAAAAAACTAAAAATAATGCCATTCTGGAAATCAAGGATGTTGTTCTACACACTTGGGGCTACATTTTTTCCTATACTGCAAAAAATTTCTGAGGGGTGCTTCTTAGCGAAAATTGCGTCAGAAAGTGAAATTTGCAATTTAGTGACCTTGACCTTTGACCTACGCAAAAGTTGTCAACAGAAAAGTTGTCGGGCGTAAAAAGTTACGTCTGGAAGTGAAAAGATCATTAATAATTTCTCAATAGGAGCAAAGATATTCCATATTTTTTGTTTTTGGAAAAATCTGATTTCCCGGAAAATCACCCCTTATTTTGACTTGAAAATTTGGTGAGCGAGGCCTCTTGACCACCCCAACAACATACTTGAAAATTGGAATGGCATGTTTTCAAGAAAAATTTTTAACATTTACCCTCAAATCTTTCCTGGACGCACCCCATAATTAATTTATTAATTATTCCCATGTGCTTGCACAATCGCTTCACCTTTCTGTAGTTCACGTAGTTGAAATTATGTGAAACAAGTTTAAAGTTTTCATTTCAAAACTGTTTTGCATTTAAATTTTTGTATGTGTAATTAATTTTTAATAAATTATGTAATCATCTTCAAAACTTCATTGTAAAAATATTATAGTAATTACACTAGTAAGGAAAATGAATTTAAAATTTTCATTAATTATTGCATTTTTCAGGCAACTTATGGAGAGAGAGCAACTAATCAAGATTGCCAAAGTCAAGAGGTCGATAGTTCAAAATTTACGACCCCTGAAGGAACTCTGCCTTGAGAAGATAAGAAATTGTGCTTCAGTGAAGACTTCTGCAGTTCCCTATAAGCAATTGTGTAAGTTTAAGCTGGCCTGAAGTAATTATAAAATCTATAAATCATTTATAAAATTATAGCGCCAGCCCTGCGCCTTGATATTCTGAAATATCTGGAGTCCCAAGGGGAATGCGACAAGCTGCTCTGTTCGGAGATGCAACTTTGGATTTTTGAGCTGCTGAACCGTGTCCTGGATGAATCTGTGAGGGAGTTTGACTTCATTTTGTTCTCTCAACGCAGAACCTCGGACACTTGTCGCGATGTTCAAGTTTGGAAAATGCTTACGGAAAAGTGTCCTAAGTTGGAAAGGATTGCCGACTCGCGAAAACTGGAGAAATTAGACGTTCGCAATGCTGGATTTATTGTGCTAGGACAAGAAGCAAACGATCTTCGCAACGTGTCCCTGAACCCTGTTCTGCCTTTCCTGCTTCAATTTCCAAAGCTAGAGCACATTGAGCTAGGGTGGTACCTTTTTCATGAGAAATCAATGGCCATCGTTTCAGAAACATATCCAAACCTTCGAACTCTCTGCTGTGCCATTCGCACCCACACTTATGACCTCCTCAAGAGTTTATTCTCGATGCAGAAGCTGGAAATTCTCAAAATCAATTGGGACCAGTATACGTGTCTGCTGTCTTTAGTCAGGGTGTCACATAAGGTGAGATTTTTATTTAATTTATTCATCTTATTTTTTTTTTTAATAATTTGAAAAAATTAATATAAATATTATTTTTTTACTCTTCTCGGTTTAGACAAAATTTTCTCACACTCTTGATACAAACAAATGTACTACCTCTTTGCAGAATGAGATGCAGTGGGATCAGCAACGTTTCATGAAGGAATGCCTCAAGCACCTACCACTTTTGCGAATCTGCTGTTCGGACAATACTGATGATACAATGTGCCATGGAACGATTCGCATAGACACTGGAGATGGGCCATTCAACTTGGAGACTGCAGATCTTGAGTGCTTCTTTGACTACACACGCACCCCCTTTTTAAAAAATTTGAAGCTCATGACGCCTACGTACTTCAGAAACCACAACAACGTAGACAGCCTGCACCACCTGAAGGTACTGCACCTGCATGATGTTAGGAGTCACTTCACAGTGCCTCAAGTGCTTGCCGAGTGTGGAAGTCGACTTGAGGAATTGACCATTTGTACCTCAGCTGGACCGGTGGATCCCTTTGAGGTATTTTCTCTCTGCCCCAGACTAAAAAAACTTGTCTTCAAACAGTTAAACTTGACGGAAACTGATCAGTCAAGTGCTCTTTTGAATGAAAGTCACTTCAGTAGCATGGAAACTTTTAAATGCTCGATAACCACAGGCAGTTTTCCAACTCAGTGCATTGATCTCATTCTGTTGGCCCCAAATCTTGAGCACTTTTCTTTGTGCCTTTATGATATCAGCAGTAATTTTCATGCTTCGTTCCCACGCTTACTTGACGCACTGGTCAATGGACGTGCCTTGCAGAAGCTGAGGACGTTCAAATTTGGCTCATGCCACAGATCTTCCCCAGAACTCCTTAATTTCCTTTGCCTCCTTCCAATTCATGCACCAAAATTGAAACTGCTTAAATGCGTTCCAGCCTCAGAAGAATTAAAAAATCAGCTTCTTGACTCAATGTTGTCACAGATTTCAATTCCTGATTTCCACTTCGAAATCTGCGAGTAATGAAAAATATACATTTTGGAGGGTAATTATATTCGGGTAACAGAAACTTTGGAACTTTTTGAAATAAAAATTTCTCAGCATTTTGATATTTTTGCAAAAAAAATTATTAAAATTGTCATATGGTTAAATAATTGGTTTTCAGTTTGAAACAAGATATCAGAATTAGGATAAAAAGTATTCTTAATATGTATCTCTTGAGTTGTACTTAATTTGAATGAAGATAAATAATATGAATAACATTATTTCTAAAAGGTTTTTAATTCTATTGCTCTGCAAACAGAAATGCACACCCATTTATATCAACATTTATAATATTTTTGTTGAAAATTGAAATCCGGTTTAGTTAAATTTTTCTTGAGTTTGTTAGTTCCCATTTATAATGAATTATTTTCATAAAAGCTACTGAAAATCTTTAATATTTTACTTTCTGTAAAAATATTTTTTTCCCGAAGAAAAAAATCAACTCTTACATGGACATGGAAAAATGACAGCGCTGCTAGCCCACAACATAATTATTATCCTCTGCTTGCGCTCTTCAACAGCGCTTTGAGGGCCGCTTTTTTTCTTAGCGATTTTCCAAACACATTTTTCAACACATTGAGGACTCCAAAATTTCAAAGCGATTCGGTCTAATTTGTTTTTTTTTTCCAAAAAAAATCAGCATTTTATTCATAGAAAAATTAAGGCAAAAAAAGTTTTTTAAAGGTCAGTTACAAACTGGGGAGAAGGCCAGTGATTTATTTTTTTTTTATTAAAAAGGTTCAAATTTGAGAACAGTAATTTTTTTCAAGCGCAAGAGGGTAGAAAAAAAAATAATGTTTCACCCCATTGGTTTCTGTCTGCTCTCATGGAAAGACGAAATGCGGGACTTTGAAGAAATTTTCGGTGGTGATTTATGGTTTTATGGCCGATGCTGCGTGCAGCAGAGAGAAAATTATTTACAGCAGCGCGGCTCTCATTGTCGATGCATTCAACAGCAATTGCGCGTCTCCTTTTATCAGCAGCGCAGTGTAGCTGATAAGGCCGTGCTGGGTACAAAACTGTAATAATAATAATACTGGCCGGGCAGAGCTCTATGCGTGCGTTATTGCATTCACAATGGCCCGAGCCTTTTTACAAGTTGTTAGCTGCAATTGTGTTCGGCAGTAATAAATAATGAGTGAGTGAGTGACCTGCTGTTGCAGCCGAACAACAAAAGCTTTTCTCTCTCTTTCATTTCAGCCCCGGCGCATTCATCACCATACAAAAACACGCGCCGTGCACACACATATGAGATGCGCTGCTGCTGACGCGGGGTATTTACTTTGCGCGGCCTCTAAATTGGCCCTCTTCTTTTAGCGGCGAGGATATATAAAAAATAAAAGGATGGAGCAAGAGAGAGAGTGGCTTTTGTTTCTTCGCGAGTCCCGCGGGACCGTAAATACGCCGAACGAATGAATCGAATCGAGCGCGGGATGAAATAACTTTTATTGGATTTCTCGGAACGGCTGCAATCGATCGTGATGTTCGTTCGCCTCCGAATGCGGCACCGCCTTTAATTCACGACCCTCTTGTTTGCAAATAGACGGTAAAACGAGACTGAATACGCCAATGCATCGTGAAACTCAAACCAGTAAAATGGATAAAAAAAATTACATGCCCTACATTTGTGTGCAAGTATATAAAAAACAAATCAAAGAACAAAACTTAAAATTAAATTAAAAGCGTTTCTTCACTTACAGCGATTCATATAAATGATAAATGAGACACCAGGTATTAAATAAAACTTAATCTTTTCAATATTTTCAATGTTAAAATTTATTATGGATACCCAATATTATTATTTTGAGAGCAAAAGTAATTAATATTTTATGCCGACATACAAACTCCATTATTTATATCAATATTTTAGCAATTTTAAACGAGTTTTGAAAGCTTGAAAATAAAAATTTTAAAACAATTAATTAATATAAAAATTGGAAAATTTAATAGATGTAAAAGGTGAGCTTTCATATATGAATTTGAAATTTCTTGTTACATTACAAGAGAAGTGTCTGTTGAACTATTTCTGTAAAATTAACAAGACCCCGCGTGTACTTTCGTTCAATATCAAAAGTTGTAAAGGAAAGGTAAATTGGCCGCTGCTTTAGCAGCCAAAGTTTCGAATTTCCCAAGTATAACGAAGGGCGGCTGACTAAGTTGTGGTTTCCTTCTTCTCTGTAACGCTCATAAAGCATCTTAGACCGTGTTTTCTTTGAAGAAATTTAAGCGCAGCTGAAGAAACAAGGGCGCTGTGTGTGGAGATGAAGCTCTTATGTGTGTGTTTGTGCTCCGCGGAGCGTTGGCCAGGCTGTTTGCCTTTTGGTCTCGCTCTTTGTTCAAGGGTCACGTAACTTTAATTATTCTCGCAAACAGCCCGGCGCACTATTTATCCTCCCTCTTAGGAAAACAGCACCAAATTTCAATTCAAACACGCCTGCTAATTTCTATGCGCTGCTCTCTCTCATGTTGACTCGGCGAATTTAACTTTTGAATTTTCGGACTGCAGTGAATGCGGGACGAGGAAAATTCTGAATTAATATTCAGTCCAGAGTAATTATTGCCGCCTCTTTTGAAAAGTAGTTTTTAAAGAAAGGAAATATAAATAGGTGTGGTAAAAAAACTTCTTCTATGCGCGCGACGAGATCGTTTCACATTTACTTGAGCTCACTTTGCATTCAAAGGCCTGCTCCTTTCTGAAATTTCATTCATTTCCATTTGAATAAAATTCAAATTAGACGTAAGCGACAGGCGCAGTGCAATTTCAAGTTCCGCCCGCGAAAACAAAGGATTATTCAAATTCTCTTGTCTCTGCTGGTACTTGAATATATCAGGGGCTGCTGCTGAGCTGCAGTAATTTGCGTCGTTTGTGAAATATATGATAAACACAGCCATCCAGCTTTACTTTTTGACGAGATTCCCTCTCACGTCTTTCAACGTTATATTTCAAAACAAAAGAGCTGGCGTAGAAATGTAAATGAGAAATTGATTTCACTTTGGAAAAAATTGTCGGTAGCCAATTAGAGCATTGAAATATTTTTAACAACCCAAAAGAGTCATGCATTTTAGTTTTGTATAAATATACATATTTTAAATAAATATTAAATAATAATAATAATTATTATTAATTAATATTATTATCGATTATTATTATTAATATATAATAGTAATTATAATAAATAATAATAATATTATTTTTCGTTTGGAAATGTTCATATTTATTAAATTTTATTTAGAACAGGAATTTACTGACTAACTTCTCATCTGACTAACTTGTAAATTATGTTTGTTGTTTAACTCTCATTTCTATTTTCCTCAACCCAATTTTTTTTTTATTTTGTAAATAGGTGACTTACGTTGCGTGCAATATGTGTAATAACGCCATAAAAAGCATACAATTATGAAAGAGTTGCAACAATAATAATAATATTTTAAAGGAATCTACTTTCTTAATTTTTTTTTAAATACATGAATAATAATAATTTTTCTTTTTTATATTGTGAAGACAGAAGTAATCCTGCAACTGATGAACTGAGTTAAAAAAAAATTATGAAAACTTCATGCTTAAATAATATTTATAATAATGTTAAATTTTATTTAAATCTGTTTAGCATCTTTGATAAATTATAATAACTTAATGAACGGTTTGCAGGAGAAATGAAGTTTCTCTGATCAAACAAAGCACATTTCTCGCCTCTTCCTTTTCCCCCGATGGACTCGCCGTTCCGAGCGATAAAACCGAATTTCGGAGCATTTTTCCGCTGCCGGCTGCGCGTGCTGGCTATTAGAGTCGTAATTAATGCCCCGAGTGTCGCCACGTGTTACACCCCCCGCGTATTAATAATCCACGCGCGCCGCGTGTGTGTATCTTTGGGCCCGGCGGAGAGCCACCCCTCGTCCACCCTCGCGCCGAATCACCCCTTGCCGATAACCGCAGCAGAATGAGTTTGTCACGCTTGGCCGGCTCACGGTTCAACAACTAACTGAACTGAACTCCAACGGCGATTCTCACAAAAAAAAAAAATTCACCCAGAAAAGGCGGCGGGGATTGATTTTTCCGGTGTGCACCACACTCTGAATTATACAAATGCACCCGGCCAGGGGGTGTGAATAATTGGCTTTTATTATAATAAAAAAGTATAGGGTGCTCCACGTTGGATTACAAAAATAATAATCTGAAACAGAATTAAGAGGATTATTATGCAAATGTCAACTGCATTTTATTTCCGAGTAATCTATTTCGCTTTGATAAAAAAAATAACATTTTCTGCCCGAGCAATAAAAAGCAAATCAACTGCTTTTGCAATGTTGTTTTTCTTTGGCGCCGTTTCTGATTTGATTCTGCCTGTGCTGACAGTCGGTGCAAAAGGTAAAAATAAAACTTTTTGTAATACTATATACCGTCGGCGCGTGTATAAAAATAAAACCCGCCCAGCAGCGGAAAGTATGCGAGAGAGGTGCATGTTATTATGGCGCACGGGACGGCAGGGACGAGGTATGCGCCGAGCAGTTGCGGCTGCCAGCGTTTTATTATGCTCGGTGGATATTTTCAATATAAATTCAAATCCAATATCGCATGCCACGATGGCAGACGCAAGTTGAGAGAGACGAGGGTGGTTTTTAAACTTTGATTCATGCAAGAGATGGCTTTTTTTTTATTTCTTGTGAAAGACAAATAGAGTGAGCTGTGGAGGAAGGAAATGTAAAACTGCATTACTTTTTCTCCGGAGTTTTAAAAGTTCGGCTAACTTATTTTTATGCTGCTTCAAACATCTTTATTTCTACGGCTTTTAAATGTACAAACTTTGTTTGCGAAAAGCTTCTCTCGGAAGGAGATAAATTTTTAATTGAGGAAGAAATATGAGGAACTTTAAAAACTGGCTGTATCTTTTCATTATAAAACGATGATGGTTAATAAAAAAGTGGTTTCGTGCAATATTTAAATTTGTTTGAAGAAATTGACGCTCGAGGAGATGATCATGGAAGTACTTGAATTGTTAATTTCAATATTAGAATTCTTTTATGTTAAAATGTGTTTTTTTTTTCAATTTCGCTGATTTTTTTGTATTAAAATTTTCTTGTTCATTAAAAAGGATCGCAGACCCTGACCGAAACTGGTAGAGTCGTTTTGTTTTTGAATAAAACAATTTTTAATGAGGGAAAAGCCCTATCTATTCACTTCCATAGTAGTATCGTTTCAAAAATAATCAATTGATAAATCTATCAGGAATCTAAAATAATGAAAATCCTTATAGTCATTGACATAGAAATAAAATGTTTGAATATTCATACAACGATTTAGCGTAATTTAATTTTGTTATATATGCAAATGTACAAATACTTCAAAATATAGAAGGGAACTTTTGAAAATAATCAATTATTCCCCGCTTTAATGTTCGTGTTTAAAAGTTTGATTTTTTACCAGAGTAAAATGTAAAATAATCAATCTTATTTTGTTTTATAATTTAAGAAAAATTTTCCTTTAAATTATAAATCAAAATTTTGAGTATAAAAATCATATAATCTCCTGTTAGGGTTTAAATTTTTGTAAACATGAAAAAGTTCAGCATGGTATAGGATTGCCCTTTGATCGGCTAAACAAAAATTATACAAAAGTACCTTTTGATGCCAAAATATTGAACCCTCGAATTTGAACAATAAACTGCAAAAACGACCGGCTGGAAATTTGTAAATTGAAAAGCCCTACAGCTTGCATTGGCAGGTATCGATTTTCCATAATATAAATATCCGCTGGCGCGGGAGAGAGCGAAAGAGAGTAATCGGCTCAAACGTAGAAATGCAAATTAATCAAACGTCAGCATCCTGCTCTCTTTTAGCGGCACTCAGTCAGCAACATCGCTCTCGCTGCTGATTTATCGAATATTTAATTAAAGCCTGGCGTGTAGCTCTCGACTTTCGAGCACCACCAGGCAAGCCTATGCGTAAAACAAAAGAGGGAGAAAAATACTCGAGAGCAGCGAAATTTAATTACTCCTGCGACGGTTCACCTTTTTTTTATATATATATTTCCAAGCAACGTCAATATTTTGTCATTTTTCCTCCCTCTCGTAATTAAAAATTGACTCTCCTCGTCGACGACACCAGGGGAGCGCGCAAAACTTTTCTTCGCGAAACTGCTGCTTTTCCTTTTTGCCGCGTTATTAAAATTGCATAAACCGGCAGCGAGAGCTGTCGTTGCCGCTGTTGTTTCATATTTCACCGACAACTTTTTAATATGAGTCTGTGCAAAACTGCCGCCGGAAGAAAAATGGGCTGCTGGCTCGATGCTGCCGCTGATTAGTATTGTTATTGCCGGCATAAATTTCAAAGCCGCCCGTCAAATTGATTAAACTTTATTATATACACGCGCCCGGCTGAATTATGCAGAACGCGCCCGGCCGCTGGACCTGACGCACGAGAGAGCGAGCAGAGCTGACTGATTATACGAACATTTCAGCCAGGGGGAGGGCGCCACCCCTATCAAACGAGATATGCCAGCCATTAATTGATCCATTGGCGCTCTTCCAATGCGTTTCGCAATCTCCACCCTATGCTGATAAAAAGACTTACAGTACATCGAACAGCTATAAAATTTATATAGACAGAAATTGATGCATCAAAAGATAATAAATCAGATTTACTTGTGAAATAAAAATTTTAATCAATTTTTTTTATATTTAATTTGATAATTTTTTAATCAAATTTAGCAATGAAAGTCGTAGTTCTGTATAGGGAGAATAAAACATAGATATTTTCACCTGAGTAACTGATACGTAAAATTATTATTAATTTATTATTTATTTCAACTTTCAATTCCACCCTTCCTTCAAGAGCTAGGATACATTTTTTTTTAAATCTGTGTATCTTTAAGCAAAAATATTTTAAAAATAGAAAATAAAATACACATCGAATGTTATTTTTATTAAAATAAAATAAAATTCTATTTTATTTTTTAAAATTTTTAATATTTAAATAAAAATGTTATACTATTTTTTTTTATTCTAAAATTTGTTATCTTCAAACTTTAAAACTAAAATTTAAATCCTTTAAAAATATTGAAATAAATTTAAATTTTCTTGCTAAAATGAACACAATTATTAAATCTAGTTTAGACGAATTAACAATCATGAACAATTAGGCAAATTATATTTACAAATAAATGCACAAACTCGTCATTCGGGGATTTCTAATTAATTCCCGTTAATGCAAGAAAATGCATACGAACGGTCGATTATAGCGGGCAAATAGGATGGAATTTTCTGCCATCTATTTTCGTCGTTTCCTGGTGCACCCGACTCATATTAGCCGATTCCGTTTCGTGGATTTGAGCGAAAGGGTGGGCGGTATAAAAGCGAATGTTCTCGTCCCAGTCACTCACATTCAACCCGCTGCACACCAAATTTTAAGTCACCATGGCCCGCGTGTGCTTCCTGCTGTGCGTACTGCTGGCCGCCGCCGCTGTGGCCGACGAGCCCAAGGAGGCCAACAACGTCGAGGGCATGGACCAGAGGCACTTCCCCGTCGTGCACCTGCCCGTCGGAACTCTGCACGTACCTGCAAATGGCAACGGACCCGTCGTCAACGTCCCACAAACCAACCCTGCATCCGCCATCGCCAGCAGTAAGTCAAAATTTCAAATCAAAGTAAATAATTTAATATTAAAATAGAAAATAAATTATAATTTTTGAATATTAAATTTAAAAAAGTAATATTTGAATTTAAAATACAATTATTTCCTTGTATAAACAAGAATGTGTTAAATAAATTTTCTATTCCATTTTAATTTTATATTCATTTTTACAGTTCAATAAAAATTATGTAGAATTTAAAAGAGGAATTTTAATTAAAATTTTAATTTTTTGTATGATTGATTCAAATTTAAATTTATTGCAGCCGGAGCCAACTTTGTCAACAACATCGCCAACACCCTGCAAAACCTGAGACCAACCCTGCCTCCTAACACCCAAAGCGTTTTCCGCCCCTGGAGCTTGTGGGGATGGTTCAAGAGACCCTCACCCGCTGTCGCTGCCCAGCAGGCCGCCTACCAGGAGCTCCACACCCCTGGTTAGACTAAAGAAATTTATCTAAAATTACTATTTCTGAATTAAATTGTTCCTCAGGCAAGCCCGGAGTGTGCCCGTATGTGCGTCGTCTCGCCCCGGCTGGTCCCTCCGGAGCCTCCCTGTGCGGCAACCTGTGCTTCAATGACTGGAACTGCCCTGCCAAGACCAAGTGCTGCGCCACCGAGTGCGGCTACGCCTGCCTGGACGCCGTGTTCAACGCTCAGCACAATTTGCACACCTTCGACAAGTACCACTACTAATTGTACAAAAAAATGACAAATTCTCAGTTTTAGTAATTTATTGTTCTGAATAAATTATTTATTTATTTTCAAGCAGTTACATTATTATTATTATTTACAAATCGGCGCCGAGTTTTTGAATCTCGTCAAGCATGAAAGTCACGTCCTTTTTCGTCATTCCCGAGTTTTGAGTTACGAATCTGAAGAAATTGGGCCACTGGCGCAAGGGTTGATAGCCAAGCATCATTGTTCCTGCCTTCATCATTCGCTCTTTAATTTTCGGCGCCGTCTATAATACAATTTAAATTTTGAAAATAAAAAAATTAAACTAATTTTTAATATATTTACGGCGTGCAGCTTGTTCCTGTACATTTCGGAAGCAGGGTCGAGATTGCGAGTGCTCGCTGGCAGGTACCAAAAACTGACGTTGATAAAATCAGGGGCCTCCAGGACCAACTTAAAACTGTCTTTGCGCTTCTTTATCTCTTCGATCAAAAATTGTGAAAGATCCATAATTTCATCCACGTGCTTTCCAAAACCCAAGGAACCCTTGAAATATAAATTAAATTGTTATTTTATTTTTTATTATTCAATATTTTAAAATTTAATATTTAAAATTAAATAAATTTTAAAGTGATTTCGCCACCTTTGCTTTCCACATGAGCCAAAACTTAAAGACGTCCACCCTCCTCCCGCATTGGATGTACTTGTCTCCGGGGTCAAGACTGCGGTCGTAAAATTTGTCTTTTTGGAAAAGATAGGTTGCGTCCTTGCTGTGACAAGACTTGAGTAAACCCTGATGTCGCACCAAGAGTGCCGAGCACTGCTGAGGCACCGCCAGCAGTTTGTGCGGATTCCAAGTAACCGAGTCGGCCCTTAATTTTTGTAATGTCAAATTTTTTATATTAAACAATTAATGCAGTTTTCTTGACCTATGAATTCCGGTCAAAAGGTGGCGGTGCTTTTTGGAAAACAGGAGCCCTCCACCCCAGGCGGCGTCCACGTGCAGCCACAGGCCGTGGGCAGAGCAGAGGTCAGCGAGCGCAGAGAGGGGGTCGACCGCTCCCAGCACTGTTGTACCTGCACGAGTTTCACTTTTATTATTGGCCTAGTTAATCGGAACGGGTACACTGATTTATTTTAAGGCAAATGTCGCAGGGGGCGTAGCTCAGATGGTAGAGCGCTCGCTTAGCATGCGAGAGGTACCGGGATCGATACCCGGCGCCTCCAAATCTGCATTTTTAAGGTTTAACCAATCATAAATCATAATCAATTAAACTCCAATTACGAAATTTTGCCAAAATTAAGAGAGCAGGTGTTTCAAATACACATGTTATATTTTTTTGGAATTACTTAAAAATCATTGAAATATTTATAATTAATCAATTGTTAACATTAAATTGTGAAAACTTATACCTATACATATGTTTAAGTTAACTACCCCTCAACTGAAGTAGTATTACCCCCTACACTTGAGCTGTGCCGGAAATTTGAATGAATGCAAGATTCTTCCAAATATGAAATTTGCTGATAGGTTGATTCAAATATAATATGGAATTCATTAATTTCATGTACATATTAAACAGAGTCTACGAAAACTTAAAGTACTTAAATCAATGATGTGAGTAGCTTAATACAAACATCATGTCAAAAAGTAACCCTGCTTCCAACAGACTGCTCATATACTATTGAGTTTAGGAGGGGGTTGCACCTGTGTGGATCGGTACGGTACACGCTAGAGCAGCATGCTAGCCTGGGACCGCGCTGACGTAAACCTCGTCATAAGGAACGCGGCGCCAATGGTAGCGAGAGAGAGGCAAAATTTCTCTCTCTCTCTCTCATTACACGTCAGAATCTCTCTCGCTCTCTCGGCGGGCGCAGGAATTTTTCTCACGGAAAGCCAAAAGCGAGCAGACGAGCGCGGCGTGAGAACTGTTTGGTGCGCTGCGCAGATTTTCTACAGCCCGGTTTGCAGGAAACCGTAGAAGGTAGCAATACCGCTATTCCTTATAAAGAGCGTCAAAGGCGGGTCTTGTGAACGGCACTCAATGGCAGACATTGTTGCAATCAACGCCTTCATTGCTTTCAGAATGGTACTCATCATAAACTCTTAATTATTCCATTAAAGATTGCATTCCAGGCATAGCATACAAGTGATAAAACGCCACTTTAAAGATGATTGATAAGAATAACAAACTTATTTAGTTCAATGAAAAAAGTACACGTATTTTTTTTTTAATTGAAATTGATATTTAAATTGAAGCTTCTGTTCATTATTATAAGAATACATGGAGCGTCTTCTGAAAAAATCATATATTTGTTTCGAACATCATATCCACTTGGTAACAAAGAAGTATTTTTGCAAAATGACATCATTATTAAAATAAAATTTTAATAACTCCCACGCACCAAATTCACAAGTTTTTCGATTGCTCGAGTGCTTTACTTTTAAGCTTCGCATGCGATCCTGTCATTAGGAACGCACGAGCATCGACATAAGGCACAAGAATGGCCTGCGGGCATCAAGCGAAACGCATCGATGAACAGCCGGTCGGTTGGTACTGAAGCGAAAACGAATGGTGCTCGCGAGTCCGATTCTAATAGGTTTCAAATTGCGTAGTGATATGCGAGAAACCTCAATTTAGCACGTTAATTATAAATTGATATAATTTCTGCGCAGCAAACAAACGTGAACCCAAAATTCATTTTTGATTGTACATTATAATTAATTGCGCAGTTTTCATTTAGAAAAAAACTGCTTAATTACTAGCGCTTTGCTATGATGATTGGCTAAATATGAAAACTTGATTAGTTTTTCAACGCAGGCTAATGACAAAAGTTTGCTCGCAAGGTTTTTCCAACATCAGCTTGATTTCGCAACTGCCAGTTAGGCAGCAGTGAGTGCGAAATTTTCCGATAATATGTACGGATCGCGCGCCATTGGCGCAAAAATGAAATTGGAAAAGTACGCCGATTTTATTGATCATCTGGCAAAACACGAGTGCGCAACAAATTTACCCGCGACCGACGGGGGCGCACTCCCTCTCTCGCAATAATGACAGCCATCGCGAATACATTTTCATCAGCGCCGAGAGCGGAATTAATTAATTGTTAAGAAATGCAAATCGGCAGTGAGCTCGCCTCGTCAGTCGGGGCCGATTATTGTGCAAATTAAAGGGCCGATGTCAGCAGCAATGCCAAACATCCGCAAGACGGCCGCCAAGTATCCAGCGAAACCTTAGCGCTGACAGGCGTGCATGCGGCGCCAGAAGGTTGCTCGTTGAAGCGCCGAGCCCGCCCCGATCGGAGGCCATGTTTAGCGCCAGTAAAAATGATCGCGCATCACCAACGTGGTGGATGCTTCCAAACCAATACACCCATATTTGAAAAACTGAAATTTTCTCTCCGGGCTGAAACTGGGACGAATCGGGCCCGCGGAACTGAAACTGCAGAGTTTCAAGCTTCAAAAATCAGTGGCAGCCACGCCCAGCCTTTAAAGGAACTTCCTGTACGCGAGGCGAAAATTTAAATTGCATAACTGGGATTTTTCCAAGTTAAACATAAAGTTTCGTTTTTCCACTGTCTAATTTTTCAATTATATTTCAAAATTATTAAATTGATTTAGCATGTTGTATTTTATTTTATTGAGATGATCTTTGAGCGCCTTGAGCTTCCGAGCGAGGGAACTTGCCAGGAACAGGAAATGTACCTAGTCAGTGGATTTTTCAACCGCAGCAATGCGAGGATTGAAAAATTTCCGCGTATGACAGGTTTTCATGGGTAAGCAGGAGGTATGTCTGCGCCAATAGGCGCTTCACAGCCAAACAATTACCCCTTTATAGCCTAGCGTCTGGCTGGTACTGCTATGGGCATCTGCCGAGAAATCGTTGAAATACCGAGTTCGTTCATTTTCCGCAAGGCGCCACGGGCTAGATTATAAAAATGATTGGTCCTGATTGGCCGCCGTCGTCGCATGACCCGCTAATGCTTTCTGCGGGCCTGGTATTATTAGCGCTTTTGCAGGATGAAATTCGTGATTAGAGCCCAAAGAGTTGCGCGCTGTGTTTATTCAAAAATGGTATTTGAAGTGTTTTAAATTCAACACATTTAACGAGTACATTTTATTTATAAATTACTTGTATAATTAGTATCTCAACATTCTTCTTATCTTTTCCAAATATTAACCTGGAGAAAGCATTCCGGGCTTTTCATGCGTTTTTATTGAAAAAAAAATTATTAAAACATAATTTGCATGTTGCATTTTGTTGCAATGTCAGTTACAATGATTGTCAGCCGCGATAAGCATTGAAATCTAATAAATGTTATGTTATCCTAACAAGTAATATTTTTGATATGAGACACACCGATTTTGATGAAAGTTGATATGAAACTTGCACCACACTTGGTTGTTCTGGAATGGCTTAAAAAAGTTGCCCAATTTCACAGGGGTTTTTGTATATTTCCCATTCAACGCATGTTAAAAATGATGAAATGTAGGCAACAAAAGCGTCCGCTGTGTATATATTTTGCCTACATTCGATTTCTCCAATGTATAATTCAAATAACATGGAGTTTAAATGGCAAAAAGAAGGAAAATTGGGCGAATATTAATGGCTGTTCTGGGGTAGTAGAAATTGAACACACCAATTTTCATCAAAATCGGTCTCTCAAAAGCACTATTTGTAATAAGATCTATTATAAATGATGGATGCGGTCTCTCTTTTTTAGGAACGCGCCGCGATTGTAAATTGAATATTGTTTTAAAGAATGCGATTAAGAAGGTTTGATTTGTATCTGAAATTCATATACTAATTATTATGGTAATAGTTCTGCTTTGTATGTTGATTCTTAGTTTAAGATCTTATATTTATATATTCAACAGAAGTTTCAAGCAGTTTTGGTAATTGTAAGTTGTTCTAACTTTCGTCAGTATTTTGTTAAAGATTTTTTTTGCTAATGACGCGTAAGACTGTGTTTGTGACTCCAATAAATTTGTAAAACCTTCAATTTATGCATAAATATTTTCTGAATGGTTTTATTGTTTTCATAATATGAGTAATAAACAAAATGAGTTCTAATGCAGCCGATTACTTCTTATGTACCCTGCTCCGGAGAGTCAGAGAAAATAAAAATGCTAAAACCTGCACAAAAATTATTAGTTTTTAAAACTTTGAATAATTCAAATTTTCTGATTAATCCAATTCATTTTACCTGTAGTTATTTAGATTTGAATTTTTTAAATTCATAATTGAAAAATTAATTTGAGTGCTGAAGCTGTTTAGAAGCGTTTGCTGTGAGCCAGATTTCACTGAAGATTACATGAGAAAAGCCAGCTGGGCCGATTAAAAAAGCATACCCGCCGACCTTTGGTAGCGAAAATATCATCTTTCCAATTCACCAAGCCGCAATGGCGCTCATATTGCGTTGGCAGGAGGGGAGAGAGCGAGCAGCAAAACGCGAGCTGCTTTTGCCCGACTCGACCCTCTACGCCTTCATGCAGACCTGGCACGGAATATGCGCTGTCGAACGTCAAATGGATGTTCACGGGACGGCGATTCGCGTTTAACACACGAAATCCGTTTCCCCTTGCGCTGTTAACGCGAAAATCCGCCCGAGAGGCTTTTCGAATGCGCACCGCGGCAACTCTGTGCAACTTCAAAGCAAACTGGCTCATTTTAAACGCGCCCGCGGCAAAAGCGTGCAATGCAAGTCGGCGAGAAAAATGGCAGAAATTTTTGTTCAGGAGATAATTTTTCCTCCGACTCCATAATATGTTTAATATTCAAACTGAGGTCGACCACTGAACTTATGCAGCTGCAACTTGTTTAAATAGAAATGAATCTCCGACACACTTGAATGAGGTCATGCTTTTTAATAACTGCAGTGACCGATTGTCCATCCCACTTGATCATAAATCTCCGCTTTGAATGTAACAAACGGCATCCGTAATCAAGAGGTGGACGGGATTCCAACTTGGCAATTTCATTCGCACACCTCTGCTGCCGCAGCATGTGTAATAAGAGGTCGTGACCTCTAATAAAGAGTGAAGCAACTTTGTATTTTGATACAGGCTTTGCTGACCACGCATATATTTTCCACATTGGAATCCTATTAATCTCTCAAGCTTTATGTGCATCCATTAAGAAAATAATATACACCCAGGAATGTAGGTTTCAACATCGCACTTAATGCAAAACACCAGCCTATGCTGAATGAGGCTAATTTCCACACTTCATATTCATCTTTTCATTCAATTTATATCTCCACATTATTTTGTGTGTGAAAAAACAAAAGATTTGGAGGCGCCGGGTATCGATCCCGGTACCTCTCGCATGCTAAGCGAGCGCTCTACCATCTGAGCTACGCCCCCGATGTTATAAATGGTGGTAACGGTGGTGATAGTCATTTTACAAATCTGGGTCAAACAGACTAATTTGCCCCCTCTCTGGACCGGTCTCGATTAAGAAACTCAATTTTCTAGTATGAGGCGTGTCTCTTTCATTCACGCGCCTTTCACTCAACCTGGCACACTATATATGTATGAGTGAGTATAATAAAAATACGGTTCGCTCCATTAATTCGGCTCGTTAAAGCATGATTAATAAACGTCTCAAATGCCATACAGAAATCAGCGTGGAACGCAAGACAAAGAGTCGTAAATAATACCAGGTGCAATAAGTGGCCTGAGATCGCAGTTAAGATTTCTTTGTCAGAAAACAGCAATAAACTTTCAGAGATTGAAATATAATGGAGATCAAACGGGACATTAAATTTAATTTATCACCACAAATGGACTAAATTTTATTTACGTTTTGCCCGATTGCTGTGTTAATATTTTTCTAATATTTCTTTTGACATTTTTTTTTAAAATACTTTTTGAAGCTAAAATGTTTCTATGTCATAATTGTAAAAAAATATTTTTGCAAGACTGAAACGAGACTTACCTGCGGTGGCAATCACCATGTAAGGATGGTCTCCATCATTTTTTGAACGCTTCAGTTCTCTCTCCAAAACGTTCAGGTCCATCCTGCCCTGAGCATCGCAGGATACTGACCTGATAGCCGCCTCTCCCAACCCTTGCAGGGCTGCCATCTTATGAATGGAGTAGTGTGCGTCTTCTGAAGCAAAAAGGACCAATCGAGGAAGTTTGCGGAGTCCTTCCGTCTGTACTTCAAAATTATATTTTTAGAAAAAAAAATTGAAGCTTTTAAAAGACTTTTTACTTTAACGGAAGGAAAAGCTTTAAATCTAGCCAAATTCATAGCGCATCCGTTCGCCAAAGATCCGCCGGGACAGAAAATTCCGTCTCCTGCACCGTCAGGGTAGCCTATTAAAGCTCGCATATTTTTTAGAACCACCTCCTCCAGGGTGGTAAAAACCGGTGCCACTTCGTAGGTATAAGCACTTGGATTTAGGGCGTCGGTCACCCACTGTCCTGCCAGACCGTAAGGGTCCAACCTAGACATTTGCCAAATCTCAGGTGAAGAGAAAAATTAACAAAATTTTGTTTTTACCCTGAATAAAGTTGGTTGACGAATAAAGGGTGTCGAGTTTTGACGCTGAGAGTGACGGTGGCTTTGATGGCGGCCAAAAGTTGTTCCTGCGAGACAGGAAGGTCGCGAGGTTGCATGTCCAGGGCAGCGTGGAGCTCCTCAGGAAGCCTCCACCTGAGGACAGGTTCCTCACGCTGGTTGACCTTAAAGACAACCTCATCTAGCAAAAGGTCGACGACCTCTTTGAGAAATTGCAAGTGGCGTGTCTCGTCTGGGATGCTGCGGAACCACTGCGACTCGTCCATGGTTCTGCGGCCCCTGAATGGGCGGCTGGCCCTTTTTATTAAACGTGCAGGAAGCGGGTTACGGTCGCCAATTGAGCCTCGATTGCTTGCGATTGACAGACAGTTTGCAAATTGACAATGTATTGCGCGTCAAAATTAATTGCAACTCCTTTAATTAAATGAGTTATTCTATTAAAGCTAAACTTATATTCATTTGGTTTCAAAACATTTAAATTTGTTTATTTTAATTAGTTAAACAACTTTTTTCACTGGGTACGCATTTTCAATTAATTTATTATCTCGCAACACGTCATACAAAAATGAGAAAGTCCAAAATTGGGAAATAATTAGGAGCCAGCCATAGTAAAGATAGTAAACAACTTACTAAAATTCATAGGCCCATTTTCGCATATTATTTAATTGACTCATCGATCTGGAATCCTAATACCAAAAATATAATATAAATATTATCAAATAAAGATGTACAAAATATATAACTTTAATAATATAATAAATAAATAGATTAATTCATTTTAAAAATATTAAATGAAGATATTAAAAATATAGCTAGCTACAAAGTTTAATATGAATTTAAAATTTAGAAATAGCAGAGAAAATTAAATGAACTGAGTTTTAGGTTTAAATTAAAAATAAAAAGAGTTGCAAATTCACGAGAGCAAAAATCGTGATTCCACAGTGATGTAAAGAGGAAGCCTTTTGCTGATTTTAGAGAAGTTTTGCTTCGTTATTTGACCAAAACTGTCGAGTGTTTTTCAACTTTGTTTTCGCTGCATCCCTCTCTCTCCGCCCTTCGGCTCTTTGCACTCTGAAAAGGCGCAGCCGTGCACGTGCGCGTGTTCGTACGTAATGACTCTGACTCGGTACGTTTGAAATGTTCACGAGAGTGCAAACGGGGGATTATGCTCGGCAGCAGCAAAGAGCAGAGAGACATGAAAGCTCATACATGAACGTTAATCCTGTTTAGGCAGAGGCTAATTAGAGAAATTGAAAATGATCCTATTACATTATTGAACTGCAGAATAAAAAAGTCGCCGGGCCAGATCCTATTAAGGGTCTCTGTACTTTTCGCAATACATGACTCGTACCCGCTCTCTGAAGCAAGTCGTTGCTCCAATATCAACTTTTTTCACAAGCGTCAATGATATAAACAGAAATTCATCAATAGCTGCAATTACTCGCCGGCTTATACGCGTTGAAAATTAATTATTTCATTACTTAGAAGAAAAAAAAGTAAAATTTCTTTTAGGTTGCTCAATCTAAGAATTAATTTTTTTGCAGCAGTTTTGCAATAAATCATATTTCAAAATTTACCTGACATTTTAGTTAATTGATTAACTAAAATGTTTTCAATTATTTTTATTTTCGTTTTTTTTTTCAAATAAAAAATATTGAAAGCTATGCAAAATTTGTGATTCTTAATTTTTATTTTTAATGAAGTATAAATATTGTAATAAACGCACAAAAAAATCTAACAAGAACCAATTGTTTCACCTAAATCTACAATTTCAGACTCGATGAACTGTGATATTAAATTTATTTGAAAGGCCTTTAATTTTTAGATAAAATGTTAATTATTTATTCAATTGCATGCAATTACAACTTCGGAAAAGATAAACTAAACACCTCACAACAAACTTAAATTTGCTCAAACTCTGCAAATAAAAGAAAATCTTGAACATGCCGTAGCAAAATTATAGAGAAAATGCAATATTTTTTCAATTTTCATTAGCCATTGTGGGATTTTATTTTCCTACATAGGAAAGAAATTTGGTGAAAGAATTGAAAAAATATAATATCAAAAAAAAATATATATTCATGGGTAAATTATAAATCAGGCGTTCCAGCATACAGCATTTAGCTTTTGACGTCAGAGCTGGAGCCGCCGCCGGCATTAATTATTTATTTAACTCTTCTATGCAGCTACATAGGCTGCTGCACCGCGGTCTGATCTGAGCAGCGGTATAGGCAGATTTTGCAGTGGGGTTCGCGTAATGAGCCTATGCAAAATCAATAATAAAAGTCGAGTGCGCGGCGTCGGCGGCTCCGCCACTCACGTTTCCTCCTGCTCAGTCGGCCCGGCGAGTTTTTTTTTTATTTTATTCCCGCTCGCATATTTATTTGAACGGCCGACCGAGCAGAAATGTGTTTGCATCACGTATGCGGGCGAAAGGCAGCAGCATACATAAAAATTATTATGTATAGAGGGCGGTTCAGGCCGAGCAACTCGATGCTCCCTTTTGGCTAAACGATCACTCGATGGGTTCGCTTGTCCATCCCCCGGCAGCAGACATGCTCCAGCATAATTGAAATTGCCACGAGTGCTGCCGCCGCCGACTTTTTGCCCACCGCCGAATCGCTTCACCCTTTTCACCCTGACTCACCACTTAAGTTTCAAGAAAGCAGATTATTATAAAAAAATTTATGCTTTTGAAAAACCAATTTATTCGCTTTCCCTTAAAATTGTTAATGTAATATTAAATTTACTAATTCTCCCTTAATGTGATTTTTACCATTTCTTTGGTTTCTTTTATTTTGACTTGTTGCGGGAGATGAAATTAATAATTATTGATCATAAATGAAATTAAACATATAACACATTTTGCACATGAAATCTAATAATATTTTAACCTGCAAGATGACGTTCCGAAATTCTTCAATTTTTTAATCTTTTCTTTAAAGACTCGACTTGTAATAATTTAAAATTATTAAAATTCCTAGAGAAGTAAAAATTTTTTTTCTAGCTGCCCATCTTTAAATAATTATTGACACACGGAAATTTTGTATACTATTTTTCTGCTGCATGAGAGTTGGAAAAGGCTAGACAATGAGTAAAATTTTTATATAAAAAAAATTAATTCTAAGTTTAATATAACATCCATCAGATATCTCAAAAATTGTAATTATGATTTGCTTGAATGGTTTGAGAGTTTGTTCATCAAGACGAACTGTGTGTTTCCTTTTCAAATTCATTTTGCTGCAGTAGTTGAGGTGAGGCGTTGGCTCAGCTATTCACTTATTTTGAATTTCCTGAAAAAAAGACGTAGAAATTAAAAGAATTGTTATTTCAACCATGGAAAATCTGAAAAAAAGTGATCTGAAGTAGAAGTAAATTTTTTCATTTCTTTTTTCAAGGAAAATTTTCACTGTACTCTCAATCTCTACTAATTTCCAGCTGTCTCCGTTAATTACAGAAAAATACCTTCCAAAAAATAAATATTAAGTTGAAAGAATCTGAGGGTTTTGTACTTATTTGAAGATAATGATTGAAAAATTTTTAAAATATTTTACTTTGCTTGATCGATTGATGATGATGAAAGATAATGAGAAGTATATAGCAAATGGTATATTATAGAAATGTTTTTTTTATAAAGAATTGGATGCCGCCTTGTGCAAGATCTATCAAGAACAATCGTTATTATTTATTAATTCATGGTGTTTTGCAGAGCGATTTATTATTATTATTATTATAACATTTGGGTTTATAAATTCCACATTCTTATTTTGTAATGAATTCCTTTAAAAAAATTATATTATTTATTTTGCATCCTCTAGCTTGTGATTGCCGTCCTCACTCAAGTAGTTTGACATTTAAGGTGAAGCCAATCGTTATTATTTTTGTTGTGCATTTGTCTTTAGTGATGACATTTGTCCGAAATTCGTTTCACGCTGGAAATGCTTCTGGCAGTCTTGCAGAGTGCTGATGTCTCCCACGGCTGCCTTTTTAATCTTGGATGCCAATCGTCAGTTCCACTCCGTCACCCTCAAGGAACAGCAGGGTGCGCCGCGCAAATGCCACCTTGCCCTCTTTTGAATGCCAATTTCTTCTTCTTCGGAGCAAATCACTGACATTTCAATTGAAGGGCCGCGTATTTTGCATCTGATAAGGCGGAGAGCTTAAAATATATATTCGTAAAAATATAAAATTCATACCCCAAATTTTACAGAACAAAAAATCCTACACGACTGCATTTGGAATTTTTTCCCCTGAAAATCAAATTAATTCTTCTCCTAATGGTATATTGCAAAAAAAAAATTGAAAAACTAAAAAAAACTTAATTGAAATGATACCTGTTTTGAGTTAATTAATCATTCCACATAAAATTGAATAATAACTTTTTTTATTTTTACTATTAAAAAAAAAATTAACTCCTTGACTATTTCATAATAAAATTCATAATATAGGTATTTGAAAGATAAAGAATAATAAATAATTAATTTAATTTAAAATAAGTATATTTAAAACCGTAAATTCTTGATGGAAAAGCAGCCCAATGTAATTTCGGAGTGAAAGCAGCAGGAATTTAAATTGAGCTTAAGCGCTAGGGGCTGAAATTGGATGTGAGAGGCTTTCAGGGAGCGGCAGCAAATTAAAACAGGCTCAGCTGAAAGAGGCTTTTCAACTTTTTATAGGCCTACGCCGTCGAACAATCCAAATGCAGCCGTGTTTGCTCAGCCCTTTTCCCTCTGAAGCGTTTCCTCATGAAAGTGCAGGGCAGGGTGTTCGGATGCACTGGAGGCTGCGACCCTCTTTGCACCCTCGCTCCAGATGATTAACTCGCCTTCTTTGTGCTCAGTCAGGATATGGAAAAGGAAAAAAAATACGCGTCGACGCTAATTTTTTTGCACTTGTTGGTGCCTTTTAATGGCTAAAGTCACATTCCTTCGTCTCTCATGCACATTAAAATATGAAAACAGCAGTTGCGTAGTTTTTACAGCGAACACTTCAAATATGCACAGTATTTACTAAGAAATTTTTGATTTTTCGCGTCAGTTCACTTATTTGATTTGCGTCAGGAACAATTTGGCAACTTAATAGACAATGATGCACAAAATTTAGATCACAATGACTGAGCAAACAATGCGAGAGCTGCGTTTTTACAAAGATTATATATGATGCACAGCCCTCTGTAAAATTTCGTCACAGTTCGATCACTTCTTAACGATTCTATATATTGACAAAAGTATACAAAACCAGACTTCCACCGCCGCATGGTTAGATTTAGTCCGCAGAAAAAATTCTCGAGATCAGTCTTTTATCTTTATCTCTCTCAAGACGAAATTTAGGAGAACAATAATCAATAAGTCGGGCCATCATTCAGTATTAAAGCACTTTTCAGTACAAATAGCTATGACACAAAGATTTAAAAAAAAATTGCATATCAAACAGCTTTCATAATTATATACTCGAGTTCACGCAAATTGTTTTGTACTCGCACGCACCACTTTTTGGGGATGAGATTGTCCTCTTGTTTTCATGTGACCCAGATTGAAGCTAAATTTCTGTTTCCTCGTCTTCGCGTTTTCTAAATATAAAATAGAAATATTAAAAATTGCGATACAAATCGGATTAAAAATTAAAATTGTCAAACCTTGCATTATTTTTATCCAAAGATCAATTAATACTATTTTGGCAATCTATTTCCCAAGAAATGGAGCGTTTTGATGATTAGATCTGGTGGCAAAAAGATGAGAACCCACTTCGCATAGGTTCAATTTTCCACTGGCCCAAAGAATTTTCAAGCTGTTGATTTTGTCATTTCTACTGCTTCTGAAACAGATCAAATGGAAATTAAATAATGTTCATTACATCATAAATTTTAAAAATTTCAATAAACTTTTCAAATTTTTGTGTTATGAAAAACTCGGAAGAAAAATAAATAGTTTTTGAGAATGAATTATTATTGGTTGGAGACCGTTGACTTTTTTCTGGAGGTGCATTGTGGATGGGGTTCAAGTAGAATTCGCGAGCTGTACATTTATATTGATGAAAATATTTAGCTCGGCGAGAGCAAACAGGCCGCGAGAGGGCACAATGTGAACCCACACGCACGCAGACGTACATTCAATTTGCCATTGTCGAGTGCACATACACAGAGAGAGAGAGAGCAAGCACATTTCATTTCCCCTGGGCTAACTTATTGTGGACTTTGTGAAAAAGTTTGAATGGGGAGGTACCGAGAGCGAGAGGGGCTCACCAAGTCATGACTGCAATTGCACGTCGGTACATGCACGAATCGATAAAAATAAAACTGGAAATTCGGACAGCGTCCAGAATCAGAAATTAAATTTCTTGCAAATTCAAATGGTTTTCTTTTGTTTGGAGTCAGAATTCAGAAAATAAATTTGTGTCGCTTTTACTCCGTGTAGCAGAGCCCAAAGGGTGTGACTGGGTGGACGGAAGGGTGGCGCTTACGAGAGCGGCGCTTCGGGAAAGGGCACGGCGCTTTTATTTCGGCGCCCCAAGACCACGCCTTATCGCCTCGTTTGCCTATTTATTTCATTCAAACGCCCCCTGTGCATGCAGTCACGGGGGCAGCGCCCATGCAAATTTTGCCAACGTGTTCGGAATGGATTTTGCATCAACATTCCACCGAATGTTCGCTTTTAATGGCCCACACATTTTCCTCTACATCTGTCCTGGAATTCATCCATCATATTCAAGCTTCGGCTCAAAATTTATATTAAAATATTTTGAAAACGGATTTCAATACATTCAGATCATGGCAGCAATAATTTTTTGTTTAATTCTTAATAATATCACCGTTTGATGTACATTTTTTAACCTTTATTTGGGTTTATTGGTAACCACAATTTTATTTATAAATAACCTAATTTTAATACACTTGAATAAAATTGCTGCTAAAAGAAATTTTAGTGAAAGTCAAAGGAGTTTTAATTGTAATATTTTTAAACATGGAAAGTTTCTAGTTTTTTAAATTCAATCTAAAACAAAAATAGAACAAAAAAATACTCCATTTAAATGCTCACTCTTGATTTTTCATTGTTTCCTTAATTAAAATATCAGTTCCAATACAAAATTTGGAAAGCCAGTTTTCTCCTTTCAATAAACTCAACAGCTGTCAATTGAGATTATATTGACAATTTTTCATTTTTCTCCAATCGCCCGAAGAAAGTCCTGGTTCTGCCAGAGCCGAAATATTAATTGCATTTCGTCGTTGGGTTGGCGTCGATGCTGTTTTTCGCAATCGGCGGATCACATCTCAATTGGGACGCGCAGACGAAAAAATGCACCCGGTACGGATAAGATCTGAAAGTGAACGGCCAGGATGGAGATCCATTATTCAATTATTCCGCTTTTCTTGCTCGGCTGGAACCAGTGCTCGCTTGAATATCCATATTTATCGCGGCCACATCGGTGCGATAAATAATGGCATTATTATTCGTGGCGAGACGCGGCGGTGCGAGCAGAGTGTCTGCATTGTAATTTGTAGACGGCTTATAAGACAAAGTTGCAGGCGAGGGGAGAAGATTTTGCGCTAACCTAAGAACACGCGATCTTGCCAAAGGGCAGTGCAAAAGAAAACAAATCTTGAAAAAATTATTTCAATCTAATATGGACCACCGGTGAGATACGAAAAGTGAATTATTTCAGTTTTGGTTCCGAGATTCTCCTCTTTTGTTCAGGCGATAAAGGCCTTTGTCCTGTCCAGGCGCTTAATTTATTGCTGTGATAAATTAAATTATTTTTATTAGCTGCGCAAAGAAGCATTAATTTTGCCTTACTTTTCCATGTTATACTTTTGGGAAGAAAGAGCGCCAAAGCAGACAATTTTTTTCAAATTTTATGGTCGATTAGCTAACAATTGGCACAAATGATTTTGAAAAAAATTTATCAAGATATCATTTTTATAAAGAAGGTAATTTCCATTGATGCATTTTATATTAGTATGATTTGGTTTAGTTTCAATAATTAGTCTTGGAAACTGATTTTTTTTAAAGTAATATTTGAAAAATACCACAGGAAATTTTTTGAAGGAAGTTTAAAATTATTGAAAATTTTACTACAAATATCACAGTCCATTGAAGATTGGAATATTAATTTCAATTAAATTTTCAATCCAATTTATTGAATTGCTTGAAAACTTAAAATTCATTGTTTTATGGAAAAATTACAATATTTAAAAATATATGTTACGTTGAAGTTCCAAGTTTATAGATATTAGAATACACATAATTCTAAGCTCCCTGATTGGCTTCAAAACAATAGAAATTCTCTAACAAAATTGTCCATTTTACAGATTTGCATGAAAAACTTTCAAAAATATCAACAATTGACATTTATTTTTATTTTTTTCTTAATTGTGATGCAATTTGCACGCCTAGCAACATGAAGACCTCTTTGGTCACTGCCCTGATCGCGCAATGAATCCGTCCGTCTCTATACCAAGTACGTAAGTAGGTATAGGTGTGCTTTCGGCGCGCACAGACAAATTGCACGTGCAAAGAATCCAAGGTCGCCGAGAAACGGACCCAAATGCAGGGGGGCTGGCTCGTTTGTCTGTCACTCACTTGGCCCGTCGGATGCAAATCCATTTGGCGTCTCATGGGAACCTCAAGAGCAAAAAGACGAGCCGCCGCCGTCTTTCGTGCCTCTCTTATTTTCAATTTAATTGCGCGCGCCCATTAATTTGTAATTGAACGCGAGCTTTTCGTGCAGCACATCCCTCTTCTGTGTATATCTAGCGGAGCAAAGGTCGAGTTACAAAACACTCCATAAAATATAATTATTATTGTGTTGTTCTTCGTTCGATTCACTGGGCTTGTATAGAGATAAAGAAAGATTGGCCGGATTGAATTTGAAATCTGTGTTTTACGGCTAAGGTGATAAATTTTAGTGAGACATTTCGAACAAGGAGCAGATTATTGCATGTTTCAGCGTGAAAATTATCAAGTGCTTTACGAAGTTGGAAATAGATTCTTTTCTGATTAAAATACTTCTAGCACAGTTTTTACGGTTCTAAAATTTCTTAGTAATTATAAGAAAATAAAAAAAATTAATAGCAGTAATTTAATGCAAGTTGCTGCATGATTTAGTTTTCTCCTTTGGGTAGATGCACTATTTTGAAGAAAACACCTGCAGAGACAATACTTTATTTAATTTCTTTAATTATTTTTTTTTTGAGCGAGTCTCATAATTACGGATTTCCAAATTTATCCATGGAAATTTTTAAATAACTAGATCAGAGTTTTGCAGCACACAAATTCAATCAATGTTAACAGATAAATTAGTTCGTTTGCGTTCGGAATGAAATTTTAATTGTTTCTATTGTATTTTACCCAACACACAACGACGACTTATAAGTTATAAATAATTGTAATAAAATAATAATAACAATATTAATATAAAATAATAATAATAATAATAAATAGTAAGTAAATTGCAAAGATAATTATTTTTAACAGTTTTTTAGGATCTTAAAATTTTTGGGGAATTAAGATTTTTAAATATGTTTTAAAATTTTATTATGTTGATGATGTTTACCAATGCTTACATTGTACTTTGGCTTCGGTGGCCTGGTTTAACTGGAATGATTGTTTTTTTGGGAACATCGATCTCAAATCTCAAGTTTAACATCTAAATCTGCACCTATTTTTCTTGAAAAATCATCACTTCACAATTAGCACCACGATAGTCATGGTTTTCATTTTTAATTGAAATATTTCTATGATTATGAATGACTTTAAAAGAAATAATGTTTGGATTCCAACGACGAATTGACATTTTTTCCTCCAGTATTAAATTACATAATTGATAGGATTAGAAACGCCTGCAGCAATTTCTGCGTTGAAAATTTTACGATAATATTCTGGACAGCAAGTACGGCGTTGGACGTGATTTTAATTTAACAACTGCGCGCGCCCCGCAGCCAGACACTTTTCCAAGTAGCGAAATAAATCAGTCGCGGCGATTCCTCGGATTCGCCACTTTGTTATTAAAGCCCGCTCCATTTGAGCAATAAATAACGCGCGCGGTCACATCCAAATCTCTCTCGGCTCGTCCAATCGTAATTTTATTTACACACACACGTCTTTTAATTTATGCGTTGGCATTATGAGCCGAGAAAGTTTTCCTCTCAAGAGTGCGTGGTTTTTCCAACTTATGCACTCGCCAGATGCAAGAGTGCGTTTGGCGATTATTCACTTCAGTTTATCGCTTGAATTGCAGTTCTTGTGGATTAAAAATAAGTAAGAGGAAAAAAACACAGAATTAGCGCTTGAGGCACGTTTGTGCAATGAAATGCGATCGTGCGTTGTCGCTTCCTGTGTCGCCTGCTTATCTCGGCGCTTTTCAAAACAGCTTCGGTTTTCTCACACAACACTATCAGTTGCGCCTGCTGCTGCGGAAAGATAAAAAGTATGCAATTGTGCAGTAAATGTGCAACTGAGATTTATATTTTCACGTCTGTTTACTTGCTCAAATATTCTGTATTTGTGAGACTGTATTTCATTTAAAAATCTAAAAATAAAATTTATTGTTTGTAAATTCATAATTAGGGTTGCGCATTTTAGTGTGTCTGTATACGGGTAAATATTTGAATAATTTTAGTTGATTTTAAAGAAATTTAGTCGCCTTTTTAGCTGCTTTTTGCCAAAATAGTCGGCTGTAGATGATTTTTTATAGGATTTTTGAGCTATAAAATATTATTTAAACTTTTTTTTTAATTTGCAATGATGAGATATTGCTCAAAATTGGACAGATGTTTAAAAGAAAAATATAACACGATTATTAAATTATTTTGTGCTTTG